GGGGGTTATGGCCGATGGACGATTGCGGCTTTGGTAGAAAACTAAACTTGGTTTTTATTTGAACCTTCGTCACAGGGGGTGGAGAATGGAGGTTCAAGGGTTTTTAGAGGGGGGGGGGGTATATGGCATGAGGTATGAATGGAAATTGGACTTAAAAATGACAGGCAAAAAACTGGATTTCGCTAATATTTAAAAGAAAGGCAGCAAGAATATGTTTGTTTGCTAGAAAAAAAGACCCTTCAAGAACTCATACCCTCCTGACAAGAAAACAAAAAATAAAAGCTACATCACAGATCAAGGAATCGCAGAAATGGACAGAGCAAAATGTCTGATCAACGCCCATGACGTGAAAGGATATTCTTAGGACTGTGCACTGGAAACCCTAACCCTAGTAAAGGGTTTTCTGAAGGATATGAGGCCGGGAGACTACAATTCCCAGAAACCTTAGAGCCTTGGTTAAGATGGGGGCTAGGGGAGTATGTTTGGTAAGTACAGACCTTATTTATACACCGAACAGACAGTCCCTCAGGAGGCAGACAGAAAAAGTGGACAATGGGGTCCAAATATAATATCGGCAGGTGAGATTTACACTCCACTCCAGAGTAGGAAGTTCAAAAGGGGGAATTAACGTGGGCTCCATCTTGAAATGACAACTATGCTGAACTGGGATGGATATAAAGTTGTTTTTTTATAGGGTTCGTTAACATTTTTCACTAACTTATTTTGATTATGACATTAACACTCAAGTGGATATTGCATCTGTACAAGAATTACACAGCACGGACGACGGAGTTCAAAGAGCACCCCCCTCGAGGAAAAAAAATAAAAAATCACCAGGCTGCCGATTGCATATGTAAATATATGCAGAGCAGTATGCATATATATATATATAGATATATATATAGTTTTTTAATAATTTAGTTTATACAGGAGATGAGTCTTGAAATATTTCCCACTAATGAACCCTCTATTAAACACTGCTCAGCTTTGGTATAGGTACTGGACTTTACAAATTTAAACATATAATTCTTGTTTCCATCATGTGATGTAACGAGGGAAGATGTTTGGCAGGATGTCGGAGCTCAAAAGATAAGCGACGTGCCATCTGATTGGCCGCAGTAATGGGGGAGGGGTTTGCATAAGTTCTGCGAACCAGGATGCGGAACCACCAGCTGAGACCGCCCACCGCCATTCCCGACAGCCAATCAGGGCCGTTTTCAACATTTAAGAGCCACATGGCATCATTGCTCATCGGGGGAGACTGTGACGAGTTCACCTCACCATAAATGAATGGGGACGGGGCACCCCGAGCACGGCACAACAAACAGCAAGTGGTTCGGCTCAGCTCGGCAGGTCCGGGCCTTGTGTCTGGGTTGCCCTCTCAATAAATTCTGGAAATGTGTTGTTGTTCCAGCAGGGAAAACAAAGAACCACAGTCAGCTGCCACAGAGTCATAGTGCCTTAAATCCCACCACCACCAGGGGGTGACCATGAGGCCACTTTGGCCTGGCGGCCCTGGTCTCTTGTGAGCAATACTGTCACAGGAGGAAGGGAGGTTGTGTGGGCGGAGACAGTCAGGGCCTCGTCTCCCAGGAAACGGAGGACAAGTCACTGCTACATGTAGAGGGAACAAACTCAGCATCAGCTAAGATGCCCCCCCCCCCCCCCCCGTCTGTGGATTTTCTGTATCTTTTCTGTATCCCCACACACACCCCCGTCTCTATCTCAAATTCTGATTGGCCACTTCCTGTAACAAACCGCAGCATTTATCAGTGGGAAAAAAAAGAATGAAATTTAAAAAATAAATCTAAAAAAGTTGCATCACAGAAATGGGCGTGGCTTGTCCGTTTCCTGGTTCAGCCCCATCAAGCTGGCCCGTTGACAGCAGCTTCTGCCGATGGTGGCACCTCCTCTCTACGAGAAGGAAGGAGGTGGGGAGACAGTTAGCCACCAGCATGGGGGGGGGTATGGCTTAACTGAGGAGCATGATGACGGGGAGAATCATCACGTGTAGGATCCCTGCATAATATTCTGCATTTCTACAGGAAAAACACGCTTCCAAGTCACAAACGTAACGGAAACCTCAAACACTGCTTTTATAAAAACTGGATGAAGTTAAGGTGGATCGCGTGCTTGGATCCAGGTTGCACCCTGTGCCGTTTGCCCTCCATCTGTGTTGTCTGGCTGTCCCAGCAGAAGGCAGCTACATTTTTAGCCCTGACCTGTCTGGATTACCTTGTAAGGAGCCCAGGCATGGATCCTGGCCACACCGCTGGTGGCATCCGTCCTGGGCAGGAAAAGAAAGACGACTCACCTCCTGTCCGTCACAGTGAGGTCAGTCACGGTGCCGTGCCATTGGATGCCAGTGGGATCTGTCCTTTCGGGGTTCTCCGCGGGCTCTGGGGGTCCGTCAGCAACAGTCAGCTTATCAAGGGGGATGGAGGCGACTTCAGCGCTACAGAGACAGACACAAGTGGGGGGCGCGGGGTATCAGACAGGGATTGAGCAGTGTTAGCGAATCACGGGGAGCACTGGGCCTGGGGGGAGCTTTCACGGGGGTCAGACACACACATGCTCTCACACGAGCACAAACACGAACCCCACAAGCAAAGAGGTCTGAAATTAACATTAGTCCGGCTGAGGACAGACTGACAATCATGTCTTAATCAGCGTCAAATTTCAGCATCACAACTTTGCACCTACAGAAAAGAACAGTGTAATCGGCATTAGAGGAGTTTACTCTATACAGCTCTCTGACCCCACAAGGTGTGACGGGGCCCGGGTTCTGGAAGCAGTGGCGTGGCCTTTCAGCGCAATCTGCTTTTAGGTGGACGACATGCCTCAGAATAACTGGAAAATGAGGTGCTGTCACCCCAGGACACTGCAGCAAAGCTGCTACTCAGAAAAATGCATGAAGTTCCAGCTTTTTGTGCTTTTCCAATATCAGAGCAGCAAGGCCTGTTTGTGCAGACCGATACCGTGGACAGTGGGTAACTACACATGGTGGCGGACCTTCACGCACCTGGGCAGGGTGTACTGGGGGGACGAGCCCCCAGTGGCCTGACCCGGAAAGGAGTGATAACGCGGGGACTTCCATGACCGACTGACTCAAAGCCAGAGATGCCGACACCAAACCATGAAGGGATCGTCACGAAAAACATAAACATTTCCCAGGGTTTGGGCAGGGTTAAACATCACATGACACAAAAGGGAGGGCGGAGCTACTGCAGAATGCCCCCCCCCCCCAAAAAACCATTCGAATTTCTGGCCGAAACTCCCCCAATGTCACCTCCCCCACGCTTCTCCTTATGTGTTGCAGATCATCACATTGATCATCACTGCTTCCTGAACACAAGAACATTAAACATATTTAATTGTTCTGGGTCCTCAGAGCAAATAAAACAAGAGGACATCCTTCATGAAATGTGTTGTATCATTAAGCTCAGCTGAACAGCTATGATAACAGCAGGCTGAAAAAGCATTAATGTTTAAGAGATAATAGCAAGGTCGCCATACAGGGTAGGACTGGAAACTGAAAAGGGGTTTAGGGTAGAAAATCCAACCAAGGGCTGGGAGGAAGATTCTTCCAGAACTACTGGGCACAGAAGCTGAGGACCAGGACAGAGAGAGATTGGTTTGGCCAGTGAGAGCAGAAAAACGGGCAGATGTTCAACTTGTGGTACGAAACAAAGAAGGTGGCCTTTAATGACCTTCAGTGACCTACTGGCATGGGGATGGGGCACTAGAATCACTGGGGGGGGGGGGGTACACACTAGTCACGTAACTATCAAAGGATATCCTGAATCCTGCCAGCTTACACTGAGTACAACTAAAATTGCTAGAAAAAAAACAGGAACTTTTTAAACACGTGTCATAGGACAGTGGCACCTTGTTTGTGATAAGCAAAGCCAGGCCTGCCTGCCAATAGGGAGAGAGAGTGAGGGTTCGGTGATGCTGGAGTCAGCCAGCGATGAGTACACACCCCCAGAAACACCCGCCTTTCAGGACACTTTAAACATGGAACTGCACCCATGTAACACCTCAGACCAGCCTCTCCTTTATGCCTGGGGCCCTATTCTAGCAATCGGTTACCTGATCCTCCTTCATGGCTGCTGTCCGCCGTCGCTACAGGAGTGTCGCTACAGGAGTGTCGCTACAGGAAGGTCTGATAAAGGTCTCCGGCTCCGGCCCACCTCCTTACCTGATGAACACGGGCTTCTCTTTCTTGGTGTCTGTGGTCAGTTTGACCGTCGCCTTGGCGGCGCCCCCGGTGACAGTCGCCTTGGCGGCGCCCCCGGTGACAGTCGCCTTGGCGGCGCCCCCGGTGACAGTCGCCTTGCCGGCGCCCCCGGTGACAGTCGCCTTGCCGGCGCCCCCGGTGACAGTCGCCTTGCCGGCGCCCCCGGTGACCGTCGCCTTGCCGGCGCCCCCGGTGACCGCCTCCTTGGCGGCGCCCCCGGTGACAGCCTCCTTGGCGGCGCCCCCGGTGACAGCCTCCTTGGCGGCGCCCCCGGTGACAGTCTCCTTGCTGATGCCTGACTCCTTAGCAGCACCCTCTGCAATCGACTCCGTGCCGGCGCCCCCGGTGACAGTCTCCTTGGCGGCGCCCCCGGTGACAGTCTCCTTGGCGGCGCCCCCGGTGACAGTCTCCTTGCTGACGCCTGACTCCTTGGCGGCGCCCCCGGTGACAGTCTCCTTGGCGGCGCCCCCGGTGACAGTCTCCTTGGCGGAGCCCCCGGTGACAGTCTCCTTGGC